TTCAGATGTAGATGAAACTGCAGTTTATGGGATTAGAGACCTTTACTTCATACCTACAGCAATATACCTGAGTTGCCTTATTGACATGAACTACTACGACTATCACTTTTGATTACTGTACGCCAGAGTTTGGATTCTATTAATCTTAGTAGATGATATGAAAGAACAATGGTTGAAAATTTCATAGTAAATATAGCTACAATAGTCGCTATTTATCTTATTCAAGTATTGAGAGTGATTGAACCAGACTGCATCGTAAACTGTCACCAAACTCGACAATTTATACAATCTGTTACCATATAATTTGATACTGAAATCAGTTTATAAGCCTTAAAGCTTATTAAGCAATAAACGATATTAGTAGACCATAGCGATTTTGTAGAAATAAATATCTAATTTTTAATTTCCTTGTCGAAAATATTTTATTAGTTGTCGATAGGTATCCATAGTGGTGAGATCGTAGCTGGAGTAATAGGTGAAAAATTGCCTAGATTTAGCATATTTGGAGATACAGTGAACATTGCAAGTAGGACACTGACCACAGGAGTACCGGGTGTTATCAATATCACTGAAGATACTTTTAGGTAAATTTCTGTCGGAACTAACATTCTATGTAGACCTAATATTGTGCCATTCGATGTATAAATGTTTATTTTAGGAGTATTTTGGTTGATCTATAAACGATAACTTTTTTGTTTAATTTAAATAATGCCTAAATTCATATTTTTTATCATTCTAACACTCTGCAACGTCATATCTTCCAATGTAGGTGCCTAGATAGCCCTAAATACTTTGAAAATAAGTATTTATTATCATGCTTAGGCCCTGTAAATATGAAAGGGCGCTCTACTCCGTTAACTTGTTATATTGTATCACATCAAGCTAAATCTCCAGCATCAACTGCTAATGGCCAAACAAATTCTTGCCCATCTACTATTAATTAGCAACCCCTAGTATATATTTTGAAAAAAATAAACAGATTTATTGATTATGTAAGATGATATACCCTATAATTCAATAATTTTACAATTTTTCTCTTATTTAGGCCAAATGCAAAATTAATAATTTAACACTTCCCTCATTTTTTCATATACTTTTACGTTATGTATTGCATTTCCTACTAAATTATTGCAGTAGTCATATAATACGAATATAGAAATGATTGCTACCCCTTGTATGAAGGATTGCTCTATGTAAATGCTGTAAAGAAGATACGAAAACTTTTTTTGACCACGACTAACATACCTGACTTAACTGGTTGAGTTCTATGCCAATTTGTATTTCTTAAAAGTACTGTACTGCATGTCGAACAACTCAATCTAATATCGTTATTCAGCATAAACATGCAGTATTGTAAGTGGTTGTTATAAAATATCACATCAACTTCATTTGGATAATTTTTATAAATTGCTCATGCATAAAGTTCTGGTTGAATACAAAATTGAATACTCTTTACTTTAATTAAAATCATCATTTGATCTAATTTCATGCGTGGCTACAGCTACTTTTATTTTTTATGTCATATACGTACAGACTTAATAGTTAATTATCATTATGTATTTAATAATTTGGCATCCTGTAGTATAATATTATATGCAATGTTTAGTCGTATATAATATTAGATACAGAAACTAGGGATGTTCTCCTACATTTTTGCCTGATTGAGTAATTATCAGGACCCATGAACGGATCTCGACTTCAGTTTACTTAGTATACTGCTACAGCAAGATCTTGTAGCTTAGTATTGGTACACTAAGATCATTTTTAGGCATTTCATTTAACAAATAAAAAACAGATTATCGAATTTTTGCGTTCCCATATTGAAATACTAAGGAAGGGAGTAATAAAAGATACTCATATCTAATTGGACAATATTCAACTGATGCTTTCCTGCCTAATTTTAACTACCAACTAGGGTAAAAAAACGTCAAGTTGGTCTATCATAATAGATGAAGCATGACAAGCTAGCGAGTAATTGGTCCTGTTCTAGGTCCAATATAAGATACAGTATTACAGGTTTCAGTTTTGTTACCATTACTACTAAATCTGCTAAGAGTCCAAATAGTGATGCGCAATATGTCACCGAGCCAAACCGCAATAAGCCCGTAAACTGTATTCTAAGGATGGCTATCTATGTAAATAGGCATTTATCGTAGTCTGATGACTAATTTCCCATATTAATATTTTACGCTTTCAAATGGCTGGTATTTACTAAAGTCCTAACATGGTTGCCAAAAAGTTAATATCTCATTCCATATATTATGTTATTCTCATTTATATGTACCTGTTATGAAGCAATATTTACTTCCTTGAAATTGACGACAGTAATTTTACAGATTTCTATAGATAACTGCCTATTCTGATCAATAATGGCAATTGATGTTGAAGCCGCGGTGGCACGCTATAAATTGTTCAACTTTTCAATTGCATTTTGTTTTGAATTCGACAACATAGTCTAAGTAGTTGCTCTGACTTACTGAAATTTGAAGATGGTTAATACTTGAATGGAAATGCAATCGAATGCCAGGTAAGTAGGGTATCAAACTTATAGTCTTCATTTCTGTCTGTAAACTATTACAAACATCAGTTTGTAAATACTACAGTACAAGCACGGTATTCCTAACATTTGAAAGTTTAAAGCTATCGATTGATGCTTATAACGTACCAGATGCAATGATGGCAGGATATTATGATAGTGAAAGTAAGGTTTGTAGATAGTCATTTATGTGATTGCTGTTTACAAAAATAAGAAATACAGGTTGATTCAATTTTTCTTGCTATCTCAGCTTAGTGATATGACTAGCTATTGCATAAATGGCCTGGTTGTAAGGTAGACTACTTGTATACATTGCATCTACGTTGAATGAAATGCTATTTCCTTTAGTCGCTGTACAGTAGTCTGGGCCATGTCAGTTTGCTAGAATGATTTAATGGCATGCCGCTGATAAAAGGATTAAAAGTATTGCTTCAACTACGGTAGTCTAGACTATAGTCATGGCTTAATTAATTAATTATTAACTCAGAGATGAATGAAAGACAGCAGTTGTAAACTATATAACAAATTATTAGGAGCCAAACATGTAATCGATATAACGATCATATACGGCACGCTATGAATTTGAAAGTGACTTTACATATTTCATGACGCACGAAACCATCGAGAACTTCAGGATTTTATCTCGATGTTCTATATATCAGTCTGCAAAGTTGCCGCAATGGAAGAATTCAATATAAATTTTGCGATTTCTGTCTTGGCCTGCTTCTAAAAGTAGTAAACATTTCATATTTATCCTATATTTACTATTATTAACATTGCTTATTTATGCAATCTTCTGCTGCAGAGGTTAAGTCAAGAAGCTTGCATGTTGTAATGTATTCCTTCAGTCCGCTTCAGCCGATCTTGCTGATGCACATTACTACTATTTACAACGTTGCATGGCGCACTGTTTAGTATTACCGTGCTATATTCTGTATGGCTAACGCATTAACTGCAAAGTTGTCCAAATGGAAAAATTTAATATGAATTTTGTGACTTCTGTGTTGGCCTGATCCTAAAAGTCAAAACTTCTCATCTTGAATCATTAATTATTAACCTTGATTATGTATATTATGTTCTACTGCAGAAGTCTATTGCAATGGGTTAGTTCGATTTGGTTAAACGATGATACTGATGCGTTATGACTACTACTGTACTACGTTGCATGACGGCGCACAGTCTAGTACTTTAAAATCGTACTGTATGCTGTCTTTTCTACCTACAGAGAAATGTACAGTATAAAAAAAAATATCTCAAAAACCGTTCAGATTAATCGGAATAAAACCTTCTAGGGAGAGGATTTTATCGCTATGATCAACACATCAGTTTGCAAACTCAGTAAAATAGAAGAATTTGATATAATTGGGTGATTTCTGCGTTGGCCTAACTGTAAAAGTGACCAATATTTCATCTTGAATTATAAAATTACTCATTATTAACGTTGCTTATGTATGTTATACTCTACTTCAGAAGTCGAATAGAGAAACTTGTCCATTGCAATGAGTTCGTTCAGTTTGCTTAGACGATCTTGCTGATATACATGACAATACTGGACTACGTTGCATCAACTTGCATAGCGGTGCACCGTCTAGTGCTTTTAACATCATACACACCGTATGCTTTCTTTCCTACCTACTGTACAGAGTAGTGGACAGTATAAACAAAACAGTCTAAAAAGCATTGAGATGAAAGGAGATGAAAAGTTGAAGGAGAGAATTTGATTTCGATGGTCAACACATCAGTTTGTCAAGTTGCTAAAATGGAAGAATTTAATATCAACTTTGTGATTTCTGTGTTGGTTTATGTGTTGGCCTACTTTTAAAAGTAATGAACATTTCATATTGCATTATTCTAGTTATATTACTGACATTGCTTATGTATATTCTACTCTGCTGCCAAGGTCAAGTCGAGAAACTTGTCCATGTAAAATGTGTTTAGTCTAATTGGGCGATCTTGCTGCTCCACATGACTGCTACTGTACTACGTCGCATGTCGCCCAGTCGAGTAATACTGTATTATGCTTTCTTTTCTACCAACATGGGAGCATACTCTAAAGTGGATAGTATAAACAAAACAACGTAATTATAGTGCCTAGTCATAGTGGATGAGGTACGGATGGACGGTACGCACCGATGTCGAAACCATCTCCATATCACCTTATCTAATCACTACATAATTTTCTATACAACTAGACTAGACAGAGAGATAATAACATGTAGTATATATAATTGCATTCCAGCAATTCACATTGGTCGGGGCCGCCGTATCCAGCTAAAGCGACAAATAAGTAGTTTGAAACTAATTGAAGTGCAAACTGCAGACCAATCAAGCAGAAAAAAGTCGCCCTAGCACAAGAAGAAGCACTTTTTGACGTTCCAATTTGATAGAGGTAGAGTTTTGATGGGTTACTATCTCATCTTGTATTGACATGAGTTTGCCGGTTAGGTCATGCATAGTTATCAATGATAGCCTACGTTGATCGTGATCGAAGATCAAAGAATCATTACGAGCCTACCGTATAAAGGGATTATTGTGTGCTTTAACAGAAATATCTTCCTTTTCAAGTAGTACCGAAACTAAAATTATATCCAATTTACTTCAGTTATCTTAAGTAAGCTAGATCGTTAACTTCAATGTATTAATTGATTTAGTGTCGAGATTTATCCAGATCAATTCAACTTTCCTGCGTGGTTGACGGTATCAAGAATTCCCATTTTTCAGAAGGCGGGACGGGACCCACTAATCAAAACGTAGCAATTGCTGCCTCTTCTTCGTGATGGTAAATGATCCTTGTAGAGCTAGTACAACTAATTTTTTTGCCTTTCTTGCTTGCTTTGTAGATAAGATTGATGCTAACTTAAAGCTATAACTTAAGCGGACTAGTAGAGACAGTAAAATGCTGCCTTTCATTTGACTAAAGAATGATAAAATATCTCTGCTGACGCTTTCAAGTTATAAAGTCATCACGAGTCAAGTGTATGCTTGTAACGGAGCACTTAACTTCTTGACAGTAGTGATCCTGTAGTGTACATTTTTTCTTTTTATCATACTCAAGAGATGATTTTCAATTTTTATTTCTGTCGTGAGAATCACTAGTTAGCAGAACTTTTAGCCTTATGATCAATCATCAATAGCATGGAAAAGTAAGGGCTATTTGATGCACTTTTGTTATTCAATTATAGTACGGATTTATTAATTATGCACTGGAGTTACTGGTTGTCCGAAAATATGGACAAGAAACATGGAACGAAATCAAGTAAGTTCTCTTTCTATCGACACTTATATAGCATTATGAATAATTGTAATTTTAATCTTGCAAAATATATGCAAGGTCGTTATCATCTTGAATGTGCCATCTCATGTTTACTAGTTAGTCAATCAAGACACAACAAAATTATTTTGCTGTATACAGCATACCCTACTTGAGTTTGCCTATGTTGACAGTGAGATGAAATTAAAGTGTTCTTGGAAAAATGACAAATCATTCAATCGCTTTACTAATTTGTCATCAAAAGCAGCTATGATACAATATTGGTTGATTCTGTGCATTCGGCTCTCTATAAAGTGTTAGTTATTTCATTTGCTACATACTTACGTTTGATCAATCCATTGCTATGCAGTGAAAGTTTAATAAGTTTTTGAACGTCGTTCAATATCCAAAAAACATGGCACAGCAATAAATTATTCACCTAAAATTACTCTAGTAATATCATAATCAATCCATCATCATTGCTAATACTTTACATATCTGCCTTAAAGTTACGATATCAACAATTTTTCTCCGAAGCTCAATTTCGGATCGACGCTAGATCGCTAAGATGACTATACTTTTCGAATTGTTATACGAGTGCAGCATAATGTAAAATAGACAATACTGTTATAATTTGCTTTTTTAATCTAATTTTACTATACTATTGTGCTTTAGCTTCAGAATTAATTTACTTGTCTTAGTGAAATTGTCTATTGGACCATTAAAATGATCTTTACCTAATCATCGATTCTTTTTTTATTATTATTTGTTAGGAAAAAGGCCGAAGTGGATATTGAAAAGCATTTTCTACTACGAATGATTTATGATGACCAAGTTACCTTCGATCTGGTTAATGTCGCTTGTGATGTTCTAGGTTAGCTTTCTACAGATATAAACTATGAAGGGAAAATTAAATGCATATCTGATTGTTTTTTTCTGACAACGACGTTCAATTTTTTGTGGTTCAGGCAATTTTTTTCTTTTCTATCAGTTATTCGATGTTCATCAATACTTCTTAGTTTAATAATTAATTATTTTCCCTATTGAATAGAAAATATAGCTTACATTCAGCTGCATTTATTTGAGTTTTTGCCATTGCAAGTTTCTATTTTGTTATGGTATCTTTGACAGTCAATCAACATTATTGCTGAGAAATACCAACGCCGGCAGTAGTTGACTTGCTAATTTGATATACAGTAGTTCTATAAGCTATAATATGTTGACTAAGTTGCATCGAACTAGCATACAAGACTTTATTCATAATACATCAAACAATCTTAGCATGTGAGTTAGTTGTAGAGGAAAATCATTTATAAATATCGATGTATTCTTATCGTTTTATTTCAGAAAATTGTATTCAAATATTCGTTCTTTTATTTATTCGGCATACAATATGCCAAAAGTTTAACATATTAACAAAAATAATTGATCCCACTATTCCAATTACGTTAGCTTTCATATTACCAGTAACTCTGAAAACATCTTTTCGAATCGCATTCAAAAGTGAAAAGAGATTCCAAGAGAGTATTTAAACCATTGATATTATCTTTTGACCACATTCAGTCTTTCAGCTACAATTTTCATCAACATCAGAGAAAGGCATACAATTAGCACAGGATACTGATATCAAAAGTTTAAAGAATAAACGGAAAGAATTTATTTTTTAAGTTATTTTACGTTTAGATCACTGATTGCTTGGTAGCCGGCTGTCTTGACTTGATAAAAAAATTCTAACTACTGTATTACAATATAGACGATAAGCGTATTTGTTTTAAGTATATCTTTCCGCGGCTAATAATTCTAAATCGGATTATCAAACTTTACTCACCGTAATAATTATCAGACAAAACCTTGTAACCAACACTACAAATGCCGTTATTCAACGATTGTCAAATAATAAGTTAGTTAAATATTAATTCTTGATAAGTGGAGTTTTTTGTTGAATACATCATCGTATATTTAGGCTGCGTAGGTATGCATGCAGTCCACTAGAGCAAGTAGTTAATGTTCGTAAATTCCAGGTTGATCTGACAGACATATTAATTAAAATTTAATGCTAGTCGGCAAGAACTATTCTATAAGCCTTGATATAAATGCCGCACAAGTTATCAAAGAAGCCGCAAGCATCATCTTGTTTTGTTCATTTATTAATAAACACTAGTGTACTTTTCGGGTATCGTTAAAAAGTTGTAATTTACACATCCACCCCTCTTATCCCAAATATTTCCTTTATTTTCTTATCACGAAAAGCTGGGCTAGTTATTATCATCTAGATGGTAACTTTACATACACAAATATATGAGTACAATATATATTAACTTTTAATTGACCCTCCAATTCATTGATATTCATGCCAATTTTAAATGGCATAAGCTCAGCAATTAGAACATCCAATACCATTTCTAGCTTAGATTTTAAAGCCGACGAGATTCAGGCTAAATTAACAATGCTATTATGACGACAAAGGAAAGATCTTTGGGTAATTACTGAATGTTATTGGATAGCATTATTCATGGCAAAAGGCAATTAAAACCTAAATACTTGCTGACGCTGTATGACTTGGTGCTAAAATGCAGTGAAATGAATGATATTATCTGCCAGCTTTACTACATTCGATCCCTGCTGCGAAAAACTTGACTTATTTAATTTTTATATTACAGCTTTTATATCATTGTAGATACCCCTGTAGTGCCTATTAGAAAATTAAGTTAATATGAAAATGTCCATCACTGACATTATTTATTTATCTTATCGTAGCTAATACGAATACTGTACAATTATATATTTGCAATTCTACTCTTTCGTGTAGTCGCACATTATATACGAAAATAGTATAAAGAACAATTATTACGAATTCATGCTATAAGCTAGCTAGTAACGAAGTACAGTTAGTAGAGATGGCAGGCGCCACTATTATTTATTTATCGCTCCAAGTCAAAATTTGGATAAATTGGATGTCTTAAATTATTCCTGTTAACTCACGTAGGACTACTCGTGACTGATACTATCGTACGGTGACTAGGCACGGAAAATTTTGACAGTGATTGACATCTAAGTAGATAGACATCAAAAATATAATTTACAGACATTCGAACACGATGAATAACTGCTCAAAATGCTATGTAATTTCTCAGTCGCAGATCTAGCATTGCTTAATTCTGGAATCAATTACGCATAATCATCATGTAAAATGCCCTTAATCATAAGTATTATAAAGATATGCATATGTAAATACATCCTATAAGTTCATTAGCATATGATGCCTCTCATCATTCACCTAACATAATTCGTAAATGAAGAAAATCAATAAATAATACTATGAGTACGAGTATAATACTATATATATACCAATACTTTCACTAGGCTAAATTATACTCACTTTTGCATAATTGATCCAGTATAACTTTATTTTAGCCCTTGTTTACGTCTTATATAAAGGTAACTTTTGTGAAATCGACTATATTACATTATTGTTTCTCATGATGCTTTATTTTTGTCAATTTAGGCCTATCACAAAATGAAATCTTGGAACAGTTTGGAGCAATGTTTTTTAAATTTTGTCAAGAATCCAATTATGACAAAATTTTACAGGTTTTAGGGGGTAGCTTAAAAGATTTCTTGTGTAACCTTGATGCTTTACACGATCATCTTGGAACTATTTATCCCGGAATGAGAGCTCCATCATTCCGCTGTGTAGAACGATCTTCTGATGGTGCACTAGTGTTATACTATTACTCTTATCGTATTGGCCTGGAACATATCGTTATTGGGATAGTTAAAGCGGTTGCTAAAAAGCTGCACAACTGTCAAGTTGATGTAGTCATCGAGAAAACTCGAAACGAAACCGGAGATCATGTTGAATTTGCAATTCATATGAAGCCAACGGAAATTTCAAAATTGGATAAGAGGAAATCCATAATGTCTTTAATTGGCACACCTAACGACCTTGATGCTGCTGCCATGTCCGAAGATATGTTGATTGGTTCAAGCACCTTTTGTAAAGCTTTCCCTTTTCATATAATGTTTGATCGCGACTTAAATATCCAACAGGCAGGAACATCAGTGGCTCGTGTCATTCCTCATATGTTAAATCAACAATTTAAATTTTCCCATCTCTTTGACCTGGTTAGACCACAAATGGAATTTAATTTCGATAGTGTTCTGTCACATATTAATACTGTCTTTGTGTTAAAAACTCACGATGGATTTTTAGATGTTAGCCAGTTAAAAAGTAGTAGTGAAATATTTCGAGCAAATAATCAATCCGTACTTCGACTTAAAGGTCAAATGTTATACATTAAGGAGTCTGATGTCATGTTATTCCTTTGCTCACCAAGCGTTGGCAATTTAGATGATTTGCAAGGTCGTGGTTTATATCTTAGTGACATTCCAATTCATGATGCAACACGAGATTTAATTTTATTATCAGAGCAATTCAAGGCTGAGTACGAGCTAACTCAAAAATTAGAAGTTTTAACCGATGAATTGCAAAATACGTATCGCAAGTTGGAAGAAGAAAAACGTCGCACTGATCAGCTACTCTATTCCATTTTACCGCCATCTGTTGCTAAAGAGCTACGACAAGGTGGTACTGTCGAAGCCAAAAAGTTTGATGCAGTTACTATCCTATTCAGTGGGATAGTTGGATTTCAGAAGATTTGCCAAGATTCAGAGCCCATGGTTATTGTTAAGTTATTGAACGACATTTATACTGCCTTTGACGATAATATACGTAACGATGTATACAAGGTAATCGAGCAAGATATCCTGTAGTTGTAGATTACTTTCTGTAACATTAAAATGGTACTATTTCTTGTTAAAGTGTATTAATACAACCGTTGCTTTATTATACACGTATTTAATAGGTAGAAACCGTCGGTGACATGTATATGATTGTCGGTGGTTTACCGAAACGTAGCAATACCCATGCTAAAAGCGTTGCTCTTATGGCATTAGACATGATACAACTTACTCAAAGGATTAAAGTCAACGATCAACCTGTTAAGGTACATTATAACCGTTCCTATCATTTTCTGATATGTTTTTATTACAGAGAAGGTATAAAATAGTTAATTATTCCACGTCTGTACATGTCTACTCATGCAGATTACTATAGGAATTCACTCGGGCGAAATTGTTGCTGGCGTAGTTGGCAAAAAATTACCTCGTTACTGCCTCTTTGGCAATACTGTCAATATTACAAGTAGAACACAAACAACGGGCGCCGAAGGCAAAATCAATTTAACGGAAGTAACGCACAAGTAAGTATATATCAGTAGATAAAGCTTATACTGTTATAATTTTAAAAAATTCCTTGCTTGTTACTGAGGGCTAAACTTGCAACTTTTTTTTATAGATTGTTGTTGCAACCGCAATGTCAAGATAGTAGCTTCTGTTTTACCCAAAGAGAAGATTTGGTAAGAATGAAAGGTCGAAAAGAGCCGATGAAATGCTACTTTCTAGAACGGCATAATAAAAATAAAGCAGTCCATTTAATCATGAGAAATAGCTCAGCAAATAGAAGTTTCCTTTTCAAACCGAGAGAATCGGAATCGTCGCCTCAATTTACTCCTCCTTCACACGGTACACCACCGCTTACTCTTCCAATGGAATGCCCATTCAAAACTGAAAAGCTATTGCAATCAGTGGTAAATAAACTAATATAAAAACCATTATAGTTTTATATTTTGCTAATAAACTACGGAAATACCGCAATTATTCAGTCTACAGCATCAAGTAGTGCTCGCGTGTCTTATGCAATTGCACCCTTTGAACAAATTTATAGAATATTCGTATATATCATAGAATGATGACAATTGTAACACGAGATTAGACACCTACCGTAATAGGTTGGTAATTGGTACGGCACTATACTTGCTTTATGCTAATACTTACATTACTTACTAATCTGTTTGAACTGATAGTATAGTATGCCTGTTCATTATGACTACTAATTATAATGATTGCGTATACATTTGTATAGTCGTGTTTCTATTCTACACGCTAAAAAATTGGACCTTAACGTCCCATATGAACTACGATGTATTAACTTTTTGAACGATATGTAATTATATAACTTGAAAACTATCTTAATGTGAGTAGATTGGTAATAATTTGGGAGATAATAGCTATAAATATTGGAATTATGCATCAAAGTTAAAATTTATGACCTAACTTATCAAATAGCGAATCCATTACTATCGCAAACTATTTGTAAATTTAAAATGCTATACCGTTACAATATGACTCACGCAATTTCAAATAGCGAACGTACGGATAATAGGAATGATCTACATCAAATTGATTGCATATACATTATACTGCGATTAGCAGTTTTTTATTAAGATTGATTCTATCTAATCGTAGATAAGTTTTATTTCGATTACATCTAATCAATAGCAAAACAGATTAGTTTTTTACGGTACACTGTTGTACATCAAATCCATATAAATAATAGCCTTCAAAATACTTCTGTATCTCGTAAAGCACATGATGTACGTATAACATCATATATCAAATAGAGAAATGAACTATTTTGATCTTTGCCTACCTACAATGAATTGTACACAATAAAAACGGTGATGAAAAATTTTTTTCTATTTTTTAATTAATTGCGTAGCAATAGCGTAAATTAACAATGGTAGAAATAAAAAAAAGCAACATCGGCTTCAGTGATACCCTGTAAGAATTCTGATGTAAATTTTCGTAGAATAAAATGAATATGTTACATTTTTAACACGCAATAATAGCGTTTTCATATTGCTTCAACTATTTCAGTATCAGTAAATCAGATTGAAAATTTTGCAATTGTACTTAATAATCCACTCAAGTTTGATCTCATACTATCACAATTATTTTGTGATGCGGTAGCAACTTGCATTGGGAGCACTTGCTGCATTTGCACTGTTGGTTGATTTATACCATCTAAATCCCGGTAATTATTGCATACATCTGTAAGTCTATAATTTGGTGATACCGGTACCACAGTGTCTTGATTACTTGCCACTATCTGAACGGGAGTGTACATGTTGTGACCAACATGGGCTGGAGCATCGATTGGGTAAGCTGAAATGATAGAGCCATGGTGTTGGGAGAAAGGTGAATAATATGGAGACGAGGGATACTGTCCACTCCCCGGAAAGTTTGAATTTACTTTGACAGGAGTTTGAATACCACTCATGTACGATTGCTGACTACCATTAAGATTGTCGCAGTTGACTTGTTGAGTAGATTGTGTGATTTGCTCTTTAGAATCAGCATGTGGTGTAGATAGTAATGATGGCTTTCCAGTCATCATATAAAATAATTCAATGGCATACTTTTTCATAGACCCAACCCTAAGTTAGCCAATCATTGAAATCATCATGTTAGAAAATGATGCGTATGTTCATCCAGTCTAAAATACTACTGAACATCCCAGGAAAACACTATAAGAAGGCTATCTATCATTACGTTGTATACCTATTGTGAATATTATGTTGAATCAACCAAGGCTTGAAATAGGCATAAAATCGTAAAACGATCATTATCTTGATGGCATTTCGCAGCCTATAAAGGAGGAAAGAAAAGTCAATAAAGAAAACTTACAAATATCAAAACTTAATCACGTAAACTAATATAATAAAGATTCATCAAAAAATGCTCGTCTACCATATCCTTGTTTTCCTTGCATTGATAACAGACAGGGCAACATTTAGGGGAAAGTCGACAAAAAAGGAATTAACTAAGAAAATTGCGGATGCCGTCAAACTATAAAGACAATAATTACCGCAAATTTAGTGATAACAGTTCAATATTTCTGCAAGGATGGCGATAGCCGCAACAAAGTTAGTATACTCGTATTTAGCACAAACCTTCCATCTACCATGAAATCCTGTCGTATTTTTTTCTGTAGTAATTCCTATTAACAAGTATAATATAGTAACGCGGTTCATCAAAATAAATAAGCAAACTAAACTAATTTGTTACCTTTTCTAATTTTTGTTGCTTTGCAACCAGGATTTTATGTTCATGTAGTTCCTTCTGTATCTATAGTGCAAACATTACAATATGGTCAGTAAGAAATTCTAGTCACTGATCAATATCAATGCTAATATACTCGTATAGGGTGATAGTACCTTATTTACAGTATTCTTTAAGGTTTGTTCTTGAGCAGCAATTGCTTGCCTCATCTCTTGAGATACTTTGTTATGATTTTGAACCTCGCAGTCAATTCTATTGATATCTTGATTTATGTAAGCTAGGAAATTACATCAAAGAATTGATATCGATCCTAATGTTGCTGATACTGTGAAATCTATTTCTATTTAGGGCTTACATATAGAGCTAGCTTGTTGTGAAATTTTTGATTGCATTGTGGACAAGGCTTTATAACCTTGACGTAGCGATTCCTACTCATAAGAAAGGAATGGAGAGTGATTCGACTGGTGCTAACAATAATTATAGTGTCAAAATTTATATTGATATTTTTACTATATTGATTAATACCTCAACGTTTTGATTCTTGGATAAGTTTGCTAAATTCACCAGATAATTTAGTCGTGACAAAGTTGCGGTTGCCTACGACATTATAGAATGGTATAGCTAATTCAAGAAGACTTTTGTATTTTCTAGTAAAAATGAATTTTAATGAATAATAAATTTGTTGTGCAAACCTTGTTAACCTCATCCTGATAGTTGAGGGTTGATGAAGAATCGTTAATTCTGGCAATTTGTCCCTCATTATCAATAGCTTTTTGACTATCATCGGCATCTGATATGAGAAATTGAAAGAATTTGTCAACGGTATCAAATATTTAAATGCAAGGTAGCAAGACAATTTCTAAGGATTTGCAATCACCAACGCGAAACAATATAAAGCATATCAACATACAAAAAAACTTTACTGTGAACTGAATTGAAATATTAGTCAGTTTTTACATTTTCTATAGAGATAAAAATGGCAGTTTGATATCTGATAATTTATATATTTATAACTTCATTTTAATCTACAGTAGTATAAGAAATCTGTCCTACAACATCATCAATGTATTACATGGACTTGATGTGAGTCTTTCTCTGTTTAGAACGACATTCAACTTTACACAGCCTATTGCTAGACGACTGAGAGTACTCGCTATTCATTTACAGTAGTATTAATTAATGCTTTGAACGATTGTGAAAGTGACTAGAAAGTGCACCGCTTAGGTATTTACAATATTGTAGATGAAAGGAAACAAGAAATTGATAGTTTATCTTATATTTTCCGAGTCAACAGCGCTGTCGTTGATTAGTAGATATGGATAGCTGATTGAATTTAAAATACTACAGTATATTACCTTTATCGCGATCCTGTAGAAGATATTTTAATTTATCCGATGCGATTTTTCCTTGTTGTAATAAAGTTTGTAGTATGTTTGCTGAGGTTTCAGGGATTCTAGTATCGGAGTAGTCTGTTTCCCCCATGATCACATCATTATCTATTTCCATCAGGTCGGTTTCTATTACAAGCCATTATAAAATAAAGATTACATCATGTAAAACGAGTAAAATGGAAATTAAGTAATTCATTTATTAACTCTTCATTCCCGAAAAGAAGTCGAAACAGAAAGATTGATGCATTGCAGTTAGAAGTGCATATAGAAATGATTTTTTATTTCCGTGAAAGTGGATAATGTCCTTCGTGCTCTGACATTATGCATCTACACTAGAGTACAATATATTCATCTATCGTATGATATAACCATAAGCCATTTTAAGATTTAGATGATATCGTAAGACGCTAGTCACCTTGTTTATCCATCATGATTGGATGATGATAATTATACGCATTATTTGCCATCTTTTACTTTATTATTATGAATGAAAATATCACTCCGTTTACAAATTACACAGTCCAAGCGTTAATAACATGTCGGAAGCTGCAATCTTCGCCTTTTGCTTTCAACAAATTCCTGCAGCCGTCCGTTCTGATAGTGCGTTATACAGTAAGTGAACGTACTGTGCTGCATCATATGGCATTGTACGGTACTGTACCAAGCGTAACACTTACTGTCCATACTCATGAAAGCCTAGTCATTTTCCCAAACATCCTTGCCCAATCATGCTCCTAGTGTATGCATCACGTGACAATCACAGCCTCGTAGTGGACGTGGCCATGACGTAGCATCACCTGACACTGGATCGCTAGACCTGACAGTACAATGCAGTACAGTACTGTACATACTGTACTGTACATTACAGTACGATATACAGTACAGTACAGTACTGTACTGTAGTTTACTGTGCAATGTACAGTACTGTACTCTACACTGTACACTGTACTGTACAGCGTCTTTTTGGTAAGGGTAGACAGTACTGTACAGTACAGTACAGTACAGTAGAGCACAGTACCTTGCAGTACTGTACATTACAGTACGATAGTACTGTAGTTTACTGTGCAATGTACTGTACTCTACACTGTACTGTACTGTACACTGTACAGCGTCTTTTTGGTAAGGGTATGGTCATAACAGCTATTACCATGAAAAATGACAAGCTTTACAGTACTTTATACGATTACGACAAAAATGTGTGGAAAATCATTGGAAAATACCCTGATATTACACCTAGAATCTCAAATGACTTTCCACACACTCTGTACAGCTCAGTACTGTAGTACTGTACGGTACTACAGTAGTAGTCACTGGACCGTGCCCAAGCCTAACTAGTACTGGACGCCATGAACTGCAAAACAAAATCTTGGCTGATTCGCCATTTTAGCAAGATACTGTTGATTCAGCAGCATTCTGCTTCTTCTGGTGAACTCCACTGTTGGTTCTTACGCTCTTACTTGGTAATGTGACTACAAGTACCGTACAGTACCTTGTAGTATACAGTACAGTACTGTAATACGGTACGGTACTACAGTAGTAGTCACTGGACCGTGCCCATGCCTAACTACTTAACTAGTGCTGGATGCCATGAACTGCAAAACAAAATCTTGGCTGATTCGCCATTTTAGCAAGATACTGTTGATTCAGCATTCTGCTTCTTCTGGTGAATTCCATTGTTAGTTCTGACTTCTGACACTCGTACTTTGTCATTACAGTCTACTGTACTGTAAGACTACAGTACAGTCCAGTACTGTACAGTGTACAGTACTTTGCAAAACTACTGTACAGCGGCGGTACTGTACAGTACACCGCAAAGAGTACGTGACAGTCAGGCGCACCAACCTCACGTAGTCATGAGGGAAGTCACACCTAAATCACACCGGGTCTCTCATGTCCCCTATACTGCAGTATATGAAATATCCAGCAAGGGGGTAGACTGAAGCACGTACGCTAGGCGCGGTTGCCATCAACAATACCTACGGTACGGTCGGTACCAATGAAATTGCATCAACAGCGTCGGCCCACTGAAACCATGGTAAAGCGATGACGACATATTACATGAGCATGTCCGGCCTTCTTGCATCAACATCAGCAAATGGTTGAAATGAATTGCTAAGTCATCGCTATAAATATTCAATATCTGATCCGTTGATGTTGATTGAGTTAAAGTTGAGCTGGTTGAAGGAGCCAATCAAGTTGTATTGAAGAAGAAGAAGAAGATTGTTGCTAGGACGTTATTCGGTAGTTGGTGATTGCTCATTCGTTTAAACCATTCATTCACTAGAATAACAACAAGCGGAGAAAAGAAAGAAAGAAAGAATTTTCAACAGGCAATTTGTGAACAACACTCAAACTATCTACAGTAGCAATGGATAACAGTCATCATAAACAAGCTAATATCACCAGGCCTAAATGTAATGCGAAAATTAAACGAGCTGGGCCTTATTTATTAGGACCTCGTGTTGGTAATTCACCTGTACGTAGTATTGTTCAATGTTTAGCCAAGTTAGAAGGGACTGATCAATTTTATACTATGAAAATATTAACATTGAAAGATCTCACTGAAGAGAAACAAGACGATATCCAGGGTAAAATGTTAATGCATACCGAGTTTTCCTTGTTGTCATTACTTCAAGGTGAACCTGGAGTTGTTCAAATGCATCGTTTCTTTCAAGATGAAGTTTATGAACAGCCTACAGTACCTTCATCGCCACCACCGCCATCGCCAGCCAACGATCGAAAACACGATAATGTCAAACAACTTCCAAAACGTAAACGTTTATGCATGGCTTTAGACTGTTTATATCCACACGATTACAATCATAGTTCCGGCGATTTAATCAACTGTCAGCACTATGTTATAAGAGAGAAGAGACTATCGGAAATGGAAGCAATCATGATATTTACCGACATCATGAAAGTGGTTGAAAATTTACACAAGGTACGGTAACATCATAAAAATGCAAATCTTTTCAATCAGTCAATGGTATTCGAATATTCATCCGAGGATTGAATTTAGTTCAAATGGATTCCTTCTATCCGCAATGTTGGACTCTCTTTACTGACTTAATATCCTATCAGCTATTACTATAAAGCTTATTTTTTGATTCAATAATAGCGTACATGTACAATAGTGTTAGAAAATTCTTGTTGTCCATACTACTCCTTTTGTTATTATTTTCCTCCTATCTTATGTTCAAATTTTGTATTGGCAGAAAAACATCGTTCACCGTGACTTAAAACTAGGCAATATGGTCTTAAATAAAAGGTATGATTAAAGTTTTCCTCAATTTTAATTTATTTTATACAGCGATCAAGAAATACATGTACGCCATTAAACTCATCCCTGCAATAATACATACATTCCGTATTTCATATTAGTTGCAGTATAGTATTAAATTGACAGACGCCAAGCTTCTCGGCTTTCTTCACCAAAGACGTAAATAAATGAGCAGAATTTACTAAAATCACCTAGTCAGCAAAATGCTTGCCTATCATTTCTATTGATGTAACTTAATTAATAATGATATACTCAGCATGATGGAAGTGTGAAATTGATATCGTGCAATTAATGACGTAACAAATTAGCAGAATTTACTAAAATCGCCTAATCAGCAAAATACTTGCCTATCATTTCTACTTATGTAACTTAATTAATAATGATATACTCAGCATGATGGAAGTAAATTGATATCGTGCAATATATTGCAAGTGCTATTGACCTCAGTTTATAGGTACGTATGCTTAATTAATATGAGTGCAATGCGTATCTACACACACTACCATGAAGTGCTTGCTGATTGATCAATATCCGCTCTGTAATAAAGTATCAACTCGTGTACAATTTGTAACAAACACCTATATCATTATACTATCCATCTTCATAATGTACATTTATTTCTACATTGCCGAAATTATAACTATCATTACGTTGGCTTCGCTTAATATCTTCAAGAAATAACAATCCATAATAATATATTTGGTTAGAACTAGACGTGTTACAATTACCAACTTTTGCCTTGGCAAACATTTATTAAGTGATGATGAATTATTGACGGATCAGCGAGGCAGTCCAGCATACATCAGCCCAGATGTTTTAAGTGGTAAGTACTTTATGGTACTAAAAGTAGTCGAGGTTGATCACTAAGTTTAGAAACTTAGGATACTTTATATTATTAAAGTATTAATGTGCTAAGTACAAATAAATTAATACCTGATTGATTCTCATTCATATTCAGCACAAAATCAAAGTATGTTTTAATTTGCTACACTCGTATAACTGCAACAATTCTAGGTACCCCTTATGCTGGTAAAGCTAGCGATATTTGGGCTCTTGGTGTCGTTCTCTTTACCATGCTGTACGGTCAATTTCCATTTTATGATAATATGCCTCACGAACTCTTCAGAAAAATTAAAGCTGCGGAGTACCTGCTGCCTGAGTAAGCCAGTATTAGACTTAACGGCTCTACCAATTAATCTATGCTTTAAATCAAATTTTCTTTTAGTAAAATAACTAGATAAATTAGCAATTTTATTAATTACCAAACTAGGCATAAACTGTTGTGACAAAATGAAATACCACAACAGGATATAATCCTCCTGTGACGTACAGTAATGTTATTTTGACTTGACAATTAACGGATTTTGCTTCTCGTATACTTTCTTTAGTGACCATAGAGTTTCTCCTGCCGTAAAATGTATTATTAAGAAAATCTTAGTCTTGAACCCTAAGAAGAGGCCCACTGCATCTGACCTACTTCGACATTCCTATAGTTTACTATATACCTGGTAAATTTTCGATATCAGTTCGTCCTTACGATAATATTATCTAAAAACTATTATTATTACTGCATTTAAAAGGGTTATTATAATAAAAAAATCTGTTTATTCGACTGCTAATAGTTTACATCTCGACAATTTCGAAAAAAAACAGGTTTATTCCGAAGAGTATTGATGAAAATGATCAGTGCGTACCGGAAATGCCCAGCGATGACATGACTAATACTATGGACAAAGTAACACAAAAAGATGAGAAAGATTTAAGGAAGCAATGCCTACAATACTTTGATAATTCATTCTATGGCAAGAAAACACAATTTTTAAATATGCAATTATTAACAAGGAAAAGGAAAGCAGCGTCCATACCAGTACAAAGTATACACGAAGACGCCCGGCCGTTAACACCTGTAGAAACTGAACTTATGTCGAGAAGAGGATATCTTCAACCTTTTTCACCTTATTTATCAAATAATCTGAACTAATCATAAGCAATGTAATTAGCTTACCAATAGAATCCAAAATTCTCAAAATGTTATATTTTTATTATCAAGACAGTTCATATACTGGAGAGATTAACCCGTATTACGTAATGTATTACTCAATTGGCATTGCATACGTTTATGATGTAATTTGTAATGAAACACGTCGCCTTTGTGTAGCTAGTAACGTATAATACTTGCTCCTTTTTTACTACGCATATAAACATAGCAGATAAGTTTCTAGGATCTCTTATCATAAGTTGCAACGTATTGTAAATCTAACAACCAAAATAGAGCCATTGCATAATTTATTAATTCTACATTCAACAAAAGGATACACCAACCAATAGCGCGATTTGGTCTTTTTGAAAACTAAGGTAATGTTTTATAACCTACAAAGTGTTTTTCTACTGCATGACCATGATTTTCCACTTTCGAAATATCCCAGATATGACATAGCATCGTTTACATTCGCGTACATCGTGTCCTGGTATGTGAGTTCGTACGTACACTGACACTCAGTTATCTTAATGATCCTATTGAATTAGCACATTCAGTGCATGTAAATGTACGCGTATATATATTCTTACGTATTTATACCATTTTATTTATTACTGTGTATTGTTTACAAAATTTAGAGCAAAATTTCGATCGTTTATACTATGTTGTTGATGCTATATTCGAAATGTCACGATTCTGCAACTGTATTACAAATTGAAATAAAAATTACTTACTGTACCATGATTTTGTATTCATATAAGATTTTTTAGACAATGAAACTATCGTACTTCTTAATCTGCACGTTAACTGATATTACAAGAATAGACTCTAGACACAACAAGCTTTTAAAAATGCCACAATACCTCAGTGATGGATTACCTTTACAATTATTATCGCAAAGCGATAATAATTGCATATATACGTATAATTTATTCTTAGTATTTTGGCAATAAAGATTTATAGGGCGGCATGATATCTATCACAATACTATGTAAAAACTTCATTATGTCTAAAAATTACAACCGATTAAGTACTAATTTAAGATGATATCAATAAATAATTATCCTAGACTTCGTTCGGTTACGAGGAAATAAATCCTAACTCATTTTCGAGTATGCAACCTACATCAAATAGTCTATTTTCTCGGAAAGATGGCGCCACCAATGACATAGATATTGGCAATCCTTTCTTTGCCGTCTTAGTCGGAATAACTAGAGACGGTATACCTAATTAGAGATAGACAAAATTATTATGGATTGTTGAAGGTGATCATAGAATGATCTAGTGCAAAACAGTAAAATTTACCTGCTAAATTCGCTCCTGCAAGATAGAAATCATGATGAAGACTCTCCACAATATTTTGCTCTTCATAAGGCCTAACAGCGTCAGCGACAGTTAAAACGGAAGGACTTAAAATCATGTCAATTCCATTGCCAAACGCATTCTTATAATCATTCAATATTAAACGGCGAACTTTTTGCGCTTGTTCCAAATAACGGCCACGGTTACTGAAAAATCGATATTAATTAATTAATATCAGCTAAAGTACGAAGTAGGTAGCATCTACACAAGCAGCAACAAGTAGTTGAAAATATTTACCTCCTTAAGGAAAAATAAGTGCCAGCAAGAATCCTTCTCCTAACCGCAGGGCCAAAACCTTCTTCGCGGCTTTGACCATAAACTTCGTCCGTAGTTTCACCGTTAGCACTTCTATAACCATATTGTAACCCATCGTAACGTGCCATGTTTGAAGAAACTTCAACAGATGTCAATACGATGTAACACGGCATGACCAAATAAGAGTGTGGTAAGGAAATTTGAACAATTCTTGCTCCCAATGATTCCAACATTTCGGTCGTTTCCGACCAACTTTCTAATATCTCCTTGTCTAATTCCGCAATGTGATGTTCCTTGCGAAAGTGAACGTCAATAACGAATTAGTTGTTGCAGACGATCTGCCAACTCGCTTGTAGTATCATTATGCAAATGCCCATTGTTGTCTAAACTAGTCTACTGTACTACATATACCTTTGCTATACCAATAGTAAACATAGATAGTGGCTTATCCGCGACATTTGCGGACTCTTCCAATTGATGATCTTGACACTTAATAGGCCTTCGACTCGATGTTGCATCCTTGGGATCATGGCCAGCTACAATTTCATATACCAATTTTATATCCTGTACGCTTCTAGCAACAATTCCAGGGGCATCAAAAGAGCTTGCTAAAGGAATAAGCCCATACCTAGATAATCGACCGTAAGTAGGTTTTAAGCCTGCCAACCCACACCAAGCAGCCGGTAAACGAACCGACCCTCCGGTATCAGATCCCAGGGCCCTAAATGCGTATATCGAATATAATATATATATAAAATGACTTAAGCTTCACTTGACTGTACACACGGAAGGCATTCCTTTAGCCTAAAATTATGGTAAACTACAACGAATTAAAAACAATATGAGTATTATTGTTTAATCTATTATATTATTACATACACTAATGACATGCCTGCAGCGACGGCTGCAGCGCTTCCACCAGAGCTTCCACCAGCTAAATATCTCTGGCTCTTATCAGTGCTATCACATAAGACAAGACCGAGATATAAACGTTAGTTGCGTACTGTACATTGCAGTTACTAAATTCATACTGTGTAATACATACGCAATTACGCATTTCATTCAATTTTGATTCGATTATAGACTGTATTAATCTTCGACAAAAGAATTAACCTATCTTCTAAAGGCCAAGGATTTAAGGCAGGTCCGAATTCGCTTATAGCATTAGCGGTTCTATTTAAATACAGATAATTAATTGCGGCATTTTGGATAATATGAACATAACTACTGTAGTACAGTAGCCATTCTCTTGATGGGATATGTAATTTTGAAATAAGTATTTTTTACCTACCCCATAGCAAATTCATCTAAGTTTGTTTTGCCAATTAGTATTCCCCCTTGATCAAGTAATCGCTGCACAACCGTAGCATTAAGTGGTGGGACATATTCTAAAATTTTAATCAGTGACAGCATCTTAGCAGTTATCTCATTAATCGCTACCGCTGTAGGTACTGAAACTAACTAATTACGATCTAGATTTAAATAAAAAAGCCGACTTCATCTCACCGAAAAGCGTTCGCGATGCACATGTCGTTTTTATACCTTTCGTACTAAAGTTATCTTTGACAGCAAAGGGAATTCCATCCAGTGGACCTAATGGTTGGCCTAACAAATATATTGGAAAGAATCTTGAGTCATAAATTAGATTGCATAGAATCTATTAAAATAATGTACCAATACTCTAGCAAGGGAATAAATGGATGGATGAGGCAGTGCTCATCATCACCTTTCCTACATCTTATTTGCAATCTATTGCTGCATACATGCTTTAAACCTAAATTATCTACCTTTTCTTAGTCTCTCTTCCGATGCTTTTATTTGTTCAGTTATAATATTCTGGTCGGTGTTGTAAACGAAAGCATTATATTTATCAGCGATAGCCAAACAGGACGAGCATAATTCTGAAACCGTAAGCTGCCCTTCCCGCAGTAACTGGGCTGCCTTTATAATAATAATAATTCAATGGTATCATAAATTCATTTACAACAGGTATGTTCTTCATACATTTTAAGCTATCATTCTATAAACAGATGAAAATTTCTAATTCCTTAGCGACTTCAATCGAGCTCAATCTGGAAATACGTCACTAGATACCATGCAAAATATGCTGCTAACGTGATGCACCAGTACGATACTGATAAAGAACTTCATGTACGTGTATCCAGAAGGAAAATGCATGCAGCTTGTCATCATCTGCAAAACGGAAGAGGTTGACACGTGATAGACGGTATAGTCCTACACTTTGGAAACTTTTCTATATTAACCTTTTCACTACTGCCGCTTGGAATCTACTATATTGATTGTCCATTACTCACTCTATACCTCAATCATTGGAGATCAAAAATAATAACTGTACGATCTTTATGTGATTTGTAATAAAACGAGTGACAATGATGCTACAGTAACACAATATTTCCTATGCATCAAAATCATCCTGACGTGCTTTTCTTTCCATTGCCCAACTACGCTTACATAATATATCTTTAATAAGATCTAATACTCTCTTAGCGAACAAATAGAGTGAAATGATGGCATGCAAATTGATGTTATGTTGCGAAGCATCTGATTGCTGCATATCGATTTTCGAATTGTCACTTCAAATATTACCAGCTATTACCTTGGTTACTGACATACGCAGCATCTTCCAATCGTATCTACTTGACTGATACCATTCTATCTTCAAATGCTTTAAGTAATCAATCAGTAGAATGTAGTTTCTACCTGGATCACCACTACGACCTGGCTTAGCACTCTGCCTTCAGTAGTGTAGAAATGAATCAATTAAGGCTAATTTTAACTTGAGCAAAGTATATTATATACCAGAAATACCTAAACATGCCATCCGAGCCATACTGTAAGCCATCAATGAGTACTATCGGTGTGTACAATTGTTAGCCAGCTGACTTTATGAAGACCAACTACTTCACTATTTGAGATACCGTCTGTCCGTAACTATCTAAAAAAGAGCTACTATGGTGTACAAGTGTGCACTAGTGTGGAGAAGGCCATTCCAGCCAGCCAAAACCTGTTACTAAACATGGCCGAAACTACTCTACAGTTACTCGGGTGCCCGACAAAGGACTATGGAAGAGACTCTTCTACTTTCCTATGGAAAGTAGCTCTTACTTGAAGTCAATAAAAGTTTTTCTTGCTAGCCAAAACCTGCTACTAAATCGCTAAAACTGCTCGACAGTTGCTCGGGTGCCCGACAAAGGACTGTGGAAGAACCTCAGCTACAGAAGTCAATAAAAGTTTTTCTTGCTAGCCTAAACCTGCTACTAAACATCGCTAAAACTGCTCTACAGTTACTCGGGTGCCCGACAAAGGAATGTGGAAGAAACTCTTCTACTTTCCTATTAGCTCTTACTTGAAGTCAATAAAAGTTTTTTCTTGCTAACCCAAACCTGCTACTAAACGTCGCTGAAACTGCTCTACAGTTACTCGGGGGACTGTGGAAGAAACTCTTCTACTTTCCCATGGAAAGTAGCTCTTCCTTGAAGTCAATAAAAGTTTTTCTTCCATCTCTACGCTTTAGTAAATGCACAATAGAAAATGAGTTCTATAAGAATCATACAAGTATATTACTGCAAAATATAACTTTATATAGCTGTTAGCTACTGTGGCTTATACGTAAACAGTACAAGTAAATCGTTTCTCATCATACCAACCACCATATGACGACTTTATTATTTTATTAAGCATAACAGGCTATTCTACTTCCTAGTGAGACCGTATTTGATGCCACTACTAGAAGTAGCTGCAACCTCTGCAATAAAGTGTGAATGTAATGCGCTGCTGCATGCATACGAGTATATCACCCGCTTAGTGCTGCGGCAAATGGCAACAGGCATGCCGCTTAAGGTGCATGCACCCCTAGTCCTTGCACTTTGCCGGAATACTTAGACATGAGCAAGGACTATATGTACATTACTATTGATATACCGCAAATTGCGTTTGTGCTAGCAAATGCTTTATGATCAACTACTGTTGATCGCGTAATATGCGGGGCAGCAGTCTGTATTATTTTTTGATCTTAACCTTCCCATTTGCTATAGTTAGTCTTCTAGCTAGGTACAAGTGACTAACCACAGACTTCTTATTAATGGCTGTGATAACATGCCTTCAAAATAATAATGCAAAAGCTACAGTTTCATATAAACTTCACTTTATTACATAAACTAGCAAATTAGGTTCGACTTCCACAACTACCAATGATTATCCAGATGCAATCAGGCTATCTAAATTATTTAAAATAACATTCATCATTTAAATATACAATCAGTAAAAGAATGGCTACTGTCCAAGTACAAAATCCAGTCATTTCGCCAAATGCCTAGTCAATTTGCAAACTGCCATACATCTTGTATTATTAACCAATGCAAATGCTTTAAGGCTAATGTTAAGTGTAACAGTAAATGTCAAAATCAGAGAACAAGTAAAAATAAATAAAAATTTTCATAATCACAACATTATCAATTCAATAATAACTCTTCATTGATAATAGTATCTCTAAATGTTTGGCAATTACTTCAGTAATTGCCAGTTGCATATGTATTGATTATTCGAATCAGTCTATTATCATTATTATGTATAATTCATCAAAAAATATATAGATTCTCTGTTTTTTTAGTAATATTACTGCATGAATAAAGATAGCTTCTCATATTTGTAAAGAAAGACGGTTTCACTGATTGACTTGTTTTACTATTTTTGCAGTTTGCGAACTGACTAGGCATTGCGCAAATACACTGAACTTCGCACTCAAACGGGTGCAGTAACATAACCATATCTTACCAATTAGGTCGCAAGATCAGATTTACATTTGTTATCGCGATATATTCATAATTCACGCTTTTAATTAATTACAGCGTTACAATACAAATCCCACATACTTAAGGCAATCTATTTACGTCACGGAACCTTAATATTAACATCTCATAAGAGTCTTATAATNTTAGTCATAAAACTTATTCGGGATTGCACTACAATGGTGCTTACAATATACTGTACTGTCCACATAAGTTGAGATGGATCTATATGAGTTTATGTATCAATAGCTGGCAATTCCTAAGTAACCTAAAAGACAGAATGAGAAAATGAAGTATGTTCCTCTAATCAACTGCATAGGTAATTTGGATAAGCTGCTATTTAATTCTGAACATCATATTTCAAATATCTTCGCTTCAATCAGATGAGCATTTACATGATGATATACTGTACATTCGGTATCATGAGTCACTTAAGCCTTACGTATTTAGAGCATATTTACTTAATGTGGAAATAATGACTACAATATAATAATAGTTAATCTTTCATCTTTAATCTAATCGCAAGTCATTATAAGAGTGCTTGTATTATGACGACATTAAATACGTATAAAACAATCAACTTTTCTTCCTTTCTAAAATCATTTATGCGACTAACTCATTTCTAACCGACATAAATTTTTATACTATTTATCAATTTTAATTTTGCTAAATCATGTTGTCATTATCGACAAACATAACTATTTTACGAGTACGATATCATTTTGTTTGTTATTAAATATTGCTTACAAATTAGATAATCAATTTAGTCAATCCATATGGTCAGACACGGAATAACTTATTAATAACCAGCCAAACTATTCCTTAATAATTTTATATACCGGTAAATAATTACTGGAGTTACGAGAGTGATAATATGTTAGCATACTCATATTAATTTAAACTAGAAAAGATTTCGAATTTTGATTACAGCAAGTGATATTTGGCCAATCGTAATATAATTTATGACTACTTTCCTAGGTGAACTTTATTAACATTATTGGCGGTTAGCTCTTAATGGAGGTAGTATCTCTTCAAACACTTACGTTATTTGAAGATATTTGAATTGATCACTTGTAAATATGAACTAAGTTAACATGTAATAAAGTAAAATCTTACATAAATACAGTAAAATACAATATTATGCAATGATCTACTCATAGAACTGATAATATGGAGTGTAAATACGATTGAGTAAGACAGTATAGAACTTTAATTGCTGGTAGGCTGCTTAAACAAGTAAGTCGACCAATAATTCTAGTCTAAAAAAGAATATCCAGATAAAATTAGTCGTTTAAAATTGAAAGTATATTAGCAAAATGAACGATAATGTTATATGCATTTACTTCCTGCAGTCAGATTTTAATTATTCATAAAACAAAATATGGCAGACTACTGTCATTCTTTGGCTTATTTAGCGCCCTCTTTGAATCAATCACCTATCGCTATATTCTTAGTAGAACACAATCCAGCAGATTGCATGATCTTATTTAACAACATCTTTGAATAACATATCTACTACCATGTTCACAACATACGCGTACATGTCAATCCTGCAGGCATTTATTGTTCTCCTGTATTAATTAAGCTATGGCATGATTGGATATAAATTCTACCTAAATATCAATAAATAATTCCATAAAGCAACTTGATATGCAGGCATAACCAACTGTAAATACTTATTAAGCATTCATTGGCATGATTTACTTGCTTCTCTAGCCTAATCTTTGGACGGAAGGGCTATTTCTCCATTCTTCATAAGTGCCCTTCTATCATGTCGTGATTATGCTATGACCCAATAATAATTAACTCAGCTATAGCCTACAGTAATAATGTATATCGCCAGGTGCTGTATATAAGCAATTACCGTAGACATTTGATTATTCGATAGACTAGAAAGTGCTTCTTGATTTATTGATGCTTTGCCAAAGGTTATCTAGCATCTATGATCATGCAGCGTGCTTCTGTCCTAAAATTATCTGTAGTAGGTCAATCGATATTGACTTGGTTACTTTACTAAAAAACAAACTACAATTTACCTTTGCAAAGCTCAGCCAGGACTACAAAAAAGAAGGAGGCATAAAAAGTACGTTATAGCTTATGGTGACAGTTATACACTACAGTTCAGTAATCTGTAAAAAAAAATAGTCAGCCTATCCATTTCTAGTATAGAGAATGATAGAATTGCTTTACTCTCTCCTTTAGTAGCTTCCGATATAGTTTACAGGAAATATTAAACATTTTCTCATGTTCATGATGAGCTGACCATCAGTATTATTCCAATGCACAGTTTTTATCTATTTCTGTAGGTATTGCACGAATTTTAATGCTGGAAAATCCTTCTTGACTATTTCTTTAGCCAGTTTGGAGTATATACGCTTACGTGTAAGTAGAATGTTGCAATCATGCTATCGATTACCTTATCAGATTTATTATTTTATGAATAGTTATATTGAAATACAATACAATTTCTAATGTTCAGAGTACGGAATAAATCTTTAAATAGGTTAAAAATCAATATTAACCAATTACGCTATTTCAATTAATTTATAAATTAAAGACAATATCATAACCCTCGTAGAATGGAGACTTCGATGAGAGCTAAAAAAAGTTATCTGGACTAGAAGTCGTGGAAGTATCCGGAAAGTTAAATCTTATGACTGACTTCATTTCTCAAAGAGTTTTTCATTCTATAGGGTATTGCCTGCACATAAAAAGTAGATATCGATTATGCAAGTCTTAAATAAGGCTCATAAAGTTAACAAAGACGGAAATATCTGCTCGTACATAATTTTAATCTCGTATCACATCTTATATAAATCATTCATGCTAGCAGCGTCGAACATGTCGTTACATTAATCATAATAGGAAAAACTAGTTAGTAATTATAATAACAGTTCATATTAAACTTAATATTTTCTATCGAACAAAACTAATAACTAGATATATATGTAAATAGAGTTCACCAATCACGGAAGGTATTATTTATCGTAAGTAATCTTACGAAATGCAACAACAAATAATAAACAATATTTTTGCAACAAGCAATAACGCCTGAGAAACAATGATCGAACCTTTTTAGTATTTTTTGACTGAGGCGTTAGCGTTATACTCGTTTTGCTCATTAGTAACTGTGATATTATAATGGCTGTTATTTTGGCTGCTACTTCGGCTGCTATTTCGGCTAATACTTGGAGACTGTATACTTGGCGACATTCGAGAACCATTTACTTGGAGTACAGATAAATAGTAGTGGTCATCAGTACAAATAGTATTATCTCGAGTAGTAATAAGGTTAGGTTGGATGGAACGACTATAACACTTGGTAGCCATATTTCGTACACCACTGACGCAATGAGCCAAATATCGTCGACAAAATAACGGTAGACAATTAAAACATTTAAAGAACACCCTTCGCAATAACATCACATCAGTGAAAGTATAAATAAATGGATTAATAGCCGAATTTATAGGCAAAGCTATAATGACAACAAATTGTATTTCAAACACATTACTAGTCTGTTGGATAATGGCACGATATAATGTATAATAGAATGGTAACCACGAAACTAAATCGGATATAATAATAATAAATAATCGAAATGCAATAGTTTTATCTTTACTCTCTGTTGATCTACGGATCATTTTACTACTTTTACGAATGGAATTAAATATTGCAAGATATAAAATGGCAGTAATAAACCAAGCTATGATAGTAATAATGGTATATAAAATAATCCAAGCACGATAATAAACATTGATAACATTACTTGGCATGCAAATACTAGAAAAGTAATGTAAGCGTTTATCACCATCTTCATTAATGCTAGTTATTGTTGGAATAATACAAAATGTAAATGAGGTTATCCAAGCTGCCAAGATAAGATAACGAGACTGCGATGCTGTTAATTTACGAGTTGAAAATGGAAAAACTAGACATATATAACGATCAATAGTAATGATTAACATCATTAAAACCGACATCAGGCTAGAACAAGTACCCAGTAACATCGCAATAGAACATGACCAACTTTTCAACCAAGTTTCAAAGATACTTCCATAAATTCCATGGTATGTAAGATCAGCTACAGCAAGAATTAATAAGTAGATTGCAGTCGTAAAGTCTGCCAATGCCAGATTGGCCACGAGTAAGTGGGGCACTTTTACCGATCGACGTGAATTAATAAAATATTGGACAATAACGCAGATATTACCCACTAACGCAACCAATCCTGTAAACCAGACAAATAATTGTAGAGATAAATGTGTTAATAAGTTACGGCATAATGATAGGCCTCGAAAATTTGTCTCGGGAGTGCATGTCGTTACTTTAGACGGAACTGCACAACATAGGTAATCTCGTGTTGTTGATCTAGAACAAGAAAAACATAAATTATGATACGTCATATTTAACGTTAGCTGGAATTATACAGCATAGGAATTCTCATAATGAAGATCTCAAATACGTGTAAGCATAGACATAAGTCTGAAGAGAGCATAATATAGTAGAACTTAGACTGTAATATTACACATGAATAACCTCACTTCTAACAATCTAAAACAAAACAACAGAAAGATGAAAATGTTAATCTGATGGGAACACGGGTAACCCGTTACGTCAGTTGGAATTCTGGTCATGGTAAGTAATCTAGTTACAAAAATGCAACTATTAAAATAAAAGAATATATTCCCGACGTATAAGATAAAATTTGCAATAAATTAATGTTCATCTAATGTAGCAATCTCTATTACCCGAGGTTATTGAAACATCTCTCAATGCCATACATTTTATCGTTACGTTTATATGACTATACCTGATTTTTACTGACCTCTATATTACAATTTAAAAATTTTGCATTATCTGTTGACAAGTTTCTAGCATTTAATGTTTATTAATAAAAGTATATAATATCTCACTATCATTCTAATTATTAATGATGATACTGTAAATAAATTAATATTAACTATTAAAGATTTGAGCAAGGATCTAAATATACCGTCCACATCCTACTTTCGAGAGAAGTTCAGTAACGTATCAATAAAATCATTCTGCTTTTGTCCTGACAATATAGACGTTTATTGTATTACTGACTCTTAACATCACCAAATCAATGTTTCTACTGATCTTTATAATAATTTTAATGCTTATTAAAAGTATATGATCAAAGCTATCCGAATAAGTAGGAGATATACAAATCCTACTACTGCTATAAAATAATATTTCTTGATTATGGCTGTAAGCGTAGTAGGATTTTTTCTTTCCAATAACATTTCGAGAGTAAATATTGTTAACAATAATATGTAGGGCATATAACAGACAGTGGCATCGCAAAAATATCTAGCAAACTCTCATTATACACCTAAAGGCATGCAATAAAACATATATTATTAAATATTATATTTCCTATATATTAAAAGTGTTCATCAGACACACAAACATTTTATATGAACATAAACTTACACCGACTGTAATAAAACCGGCCCATAAAATGATTCATGGGTTAAACTGACCAAACTATTTCGACGCATAGATCTAAACAGACAGATAAACAGCAAAAGCATGTCTAGTTAGCATTACTACTGTGTATTGGCTTAGTTACTGACAGAATAGCAATATTCAGTATACTATTTTCCGAACAGCTGTTATATAAATTGGGGGATATAGTCTATTTATATACTTTCGGATAATAAAGATTCATCATCTTAATAATAGTCATAGACACACAAGAATTAACGGCTCCTTATTATACGAAAGTAATGTAATCATAGTAGCATTCAACTAGTAAAATTGAAAATCATTTTATCAGAGATAAAATCGATGAAATTTGTAATTTTCGTCAGATGCGACATTGAAGTTAAGAATATATAATCAAATTCTCTGTTAAAATCACTGTGTTTTATTCATATAATATATAAATAATCGGCTTAGAAAATAGCACGTTCATTTTAATCTCTTATGCTTGGTACGCCAAATGCCATAAAATACGTAACTAGGGCAACAATACGTGTGATGATATTACTACATCTATCAGATCTATCCAATGTTCCATCACCAGTCATATAAATGATACAGAAACATTAACTGCATTATTACGATCATATATTTATCTGCATGTTACGTGCATAATTTTGATATTTAGTTCAACTCTTGATGAAATTAGATGCGTCAATGATAACTATTATCAAAACCATTACTGATAGACAAGTATGTAAACAGACTTCGCTTCACTTCCGCTGGGATGAATAAAATCTATGTCTAATTTCAGAATTGAGTCAGTAAGGATGATAATTAATGGTAATACATTCTAATTTAGCCTACGTTCATAACATAGATAAAACTAATTTAATTTAATTTTGGACATATAATGGAGTAAATATGCTGATTTTAGTTATATATAGAAATATAGTAATCGATAATATTTTGATAACATGCTAACTAAGTTTTTTTAAATTATAATAGGTACGATTTAAAAGACTCTTGTTCATGATCTGATCTCTAGTTGATAAATAAGGCATATAACTTAAGTAGCTTTTGTATCCTAGTAAAGAGAGATAATTCTCCGAATTATTGATCTAATGTTGTAGAAAGTTTTGTTTATCAAAGCTAGCTATTCTGCAAACGAGCTAATTTGATGTATGTACAGATCCTGTAATAAAATCTACATATATTTATTCGAAATCTTTAGCGATCGCTAGTGGCTTTTAATCAGAGAAATAGGTATTAGTACATACGCCTACTTACACTGCCTGTAAATTTGATAATCCTCTAAAGCAGCCAGATGTTAAAGAACGAATTCTATTGTTATCAGCATACCTAGATTTAATAAAATTAACCAATGATTAGTATGCTAATTTCTTTACAACAGTTAGCTATAAACTGATGATCACAATAAAATCATACAAGTATTCCAATTTAGGAAAAACGCCAGGAATATAATTTGTTGCACAAATGTCATGAAAGTTATTTTGAGAGATATTCCTATAATCAATTAAATATGAAAAAAGTAAATGTAAATGAAATATTTTAGATAATTTTGGCTTTATCTCTTCAAGACTAACAGTAATTCAAGTCCATTCAGACAAATTTTGCTAGATTCTGGAAACGCTGACAAAAAATTATGGCTTAAATCGCTGAAAAAGATAAGACAAGCCTTTGCGTAAGAACGAAATAGAAGAACGTTACAATGTATTGATGAACCATATTTATTCATACAATACTGGAAATAAATGGACAATATCAATTCCTAGATGAATATATCACAAACATATTGACTATAAGGCCCACAGGCAATATTTCCATAACTTCTAATTAACATAACATCAAAAAATGTCGATATTTTTATATTATAAATATGGCTTACAGTCTTTCTAAGTTATCTTCAGAATCTTTAAACAAGATACTGGAATCGAAGGTATAGAATTTATTGTATTGCAAATTCCTGAAAAGAGAAAATATAAAAAATATTTTTAAGTCTCATGTACCATAATGTTAAGCGTTATGTAATTCCATAAACCAAGTACTAACAATGACAGTAGGAATCCGCGCAAGTGTTGAAATGTGCCGTTAGGCAAAGTGGATAAATTGCTTCTTGCAATATTTCTGATGAAAACAGACATGAAAGAAACCTTCATAAGTCATCGTTAAGTTTCTTCAAAAAGACGTGCAGTTACCCTAATGTAGCGATTAGAGCTTGATAACTTACATTTCGAATGTAAAGCAGTCGCGACCGACGGTATTCAGATTGCACCAATACGGAGGTTGTATAGCGGAGACAATTTCGATTATAGTGCTAGTAGTCATATTGTTATTCCCAAAAGATCTAAAGGATGACAGAGCATTCGTTGATTCTCATTATAAACTTGCATAGTAATTATGAAAGAAGAAATTAAAAATAGCATGAAAGCTGATATTTTAAAAATTTCTTCATATTTCCTTCAGTATGGTAAATAACTAAAAGAATATTATCATAGCAGAATAGCTGCCCAAGAATCAATATCAATTACTAATGTGTAATTTTCTGCCTCAACAGTTTAGTTATACGGTATTTACGATAGACCAAAATTGCATATCAATTGCAGTATATGAATAGCACTTACAATTGTCTCAAATGAGTGGCTAATTTGAAAAATTCAACTGGTAGAGAGATGATATCGTTGCCAGAAATGTCACTAATACAAAGCGAAAGTTGATAGAGCAAAATCTCAACGACAGTATTACTTATGGATTTCTTGAAATAATCAATATCAAAAACTTTTAACCGATTATTGATGACTTACATGCTTTTTAATCGTTTATCCTTTATATTAATCAGAACATTTTGGTAAAAATTTCCTAAGTAGCTTTCCAGATGATTGTTGGCAACACCTCTTTAAATTTACATAGAGTTATGTGATCTAGTTTATTTGATAACGATATGATTTACACCTTTAATAAGTTAAAATATTTTATGTTCACTCACACGGCATACATATGCTCTAACGTATGTTTACAAGGTGCAGAAATAGTCTTAAATTCATTGCCATTCATATATCTGTAAAATAAAATTATATATTAACGATTAAAAATTTTAATGTTTACATCAGTTATATATTTACGAATTATTAGGTTAATATCATCATTGCTATATGAACATAAAAACCCCCAACATCGACATTCGATAAATATAATGTCAATTCTTGGCTCATACTGCAACCGCTGACGAGCAAGATACATGTACAACAGCGTTCTATGGCTCCAATTAGACCTCAAACTCAATTTTCTCTATAGCAACTTAAATTACTATATGTGATCATCAACGTTTTATACCATCAAGTCTATGAAGGAAAGATGTTCACATCGCAAACGTAACATAGTCATCCCTAGATATCCTACCATAACGTCACTGATAACAATTTATTTTCTCTCAGCATTATCTACATATTCAATGTAGATAACGGCATATATTTGCATATATTATCAGTTTATCTAATTTTTGTCCTCACAGCTAAACTTTAGATAACCTATAAAGTAAGCGACTGATAATAATTTATTCTTGTCTAAATGTTAGCAGGTAATCTAATTCATGTCCATACGGCTACGCTATAAATTTAGTTGTTTTTCAATGAGAATTTACGGTTAATAACCTAAGGAAATATATGTATTTAGTGGTGGCTGTCCGACAACAGAAAATTGTCAGCAGCTGCAACATAACTTAGTATTGGTTTATAGATCAATATTAGCCATGTTTAGTATAATGTACTGTAGCTTAGCCTACTAAGTTTAATAGAAGACGTACTTAGTATTCAATAAGCATAAACCATAAATGAATATTTTATGTTAGAGTACAGACGACCATACACCGTAGAGT